ATGGAGCAGTTGAATCATCTTTTCTCTCTGGAAAAGCTCCTTCTCAAGGTTTTAAAACTATTGCCCTTTCTACTAAGGGCAATCTACATTCCAGAATAATAGGCTCTGGACAATTATATATATATAAATTTTAGCTAGGGGCTTCTGGGCAAGATTTTGCTTTTTCAGAATAGGTCAGGTGCAACAGGGGAGCTCTGTCTCTGACTCTTCTGTTTTTCTGCTCCACATGCTATTGTGTGTTCACAGTATCTGCAGAAGCCATCTTTGTATCGACCCTGAAACAGTCCTGGGTAAAAGACATCACATTTAGGGTGATGGAGGACATGGAAAGATAGACTGGAAGGATGAGGACAAACCTACATCTCTCATTACATTACTTTCTCCTGCATTAATTTACAGTGACTCATCTAGTGCATTATTGAATGTGAGACAATGAAAAGTTGGCCTTAAGACCCTATTGGCAGCTGATAAGTATTTGGTACCACAATTTTCTGACTTATTTGCAGTTGCGTGTTTGATCAGTAAGCAAGCAGATGTTTAAGTTCAGGTTTCTGAATTAAAAGTCCCATTTTTCTTGTCCATGCTGCCTCTCTACACAGCCATAACTTGAGAAGTAAATTATGCACATATGGAAGTAATACACTCCCATTTTGAAGCATTCCTCTGATCCATGGGAAGCTCTGTGTGTCTCACAACTCTACACTCACTCTGTTCAGTTTGTCCAGCTAGAGGTGAATTTCCCTTGATACTGAATGAACTTGTCATTAAATCTCCACTTGTCTCATTTTGACTTCGAGTCAAGACACTAAGCATTGAATTTTTCTTCCCTGATCCTTATAAAAAAAGTCATATTGATATATTTCTATACTTCGCAAGCTTGTTGAATAGGAAGGCTTCATGAAATAGGACTCAATTTCTTGTCAATGTATGATTGTGTGTGTATGTGGGGCTGGGGGGTTGTATGTGCATGTGTATGCAGTATGTGTGCATGTGGAGGCCAGTGGAGGATGTCAGGTGATTTCCTCTCCTGCTTTCTACCTGTTCTTTTTGAGAAGGGATCTCTCAGTGAACGTTGCTATTTTGGCTTGGCTGACTGGACAGCCAACTCCTGGACTCTGCCTGTCTCCACCATTAATGTTGGGGTTACAAGTAGTCATGTCTGATTTCACATGGGAATTGGGGATTTCAATTCAGGTATTCAGCTTTGACAAAGGGCTCTTTTCCTCACTGAGCCATCTCCTCAGCCCCAGTATCTTCTTTTTTTTTTTTTTTTTTAAAGTTGTGGTGGTTACATGGGTATTCAATGATTTCTGCAAGCATTTAACAATGACTACTCATAAGAGAATAGGTAGATCATCTTGCAAAGTGTGCCCAATTTCCCCATTGATGGATATTTGGCATGAAAGCTTTTATATGAAAGAGGAGATAGAGTCTGAGGGAGCTCAAGATTCCTGTCCAAGTTGTCATAGCTCAGTGGGGAAGGGTTTGGAGTTTATTCTGTTACTTTAATAAACCTTTTCATATATAAAAATTAATTTTATATGAATTTAGTTCTTGACATTCAACTTATTTTTCTAATATATAAAATGCCTGTATACAAATTACATGTTTAATAAAACCCACAATTAGATGCTACATTTTGACTTGGCCTTGTGTGTAAGGAAATGCTGTGCTTCACATCTTTCTTCAATTTGCAGTGGTGATCGGGTATCATTTTTTTCAGTTGATTTATCTCTGTCTCAATATCAAGGGTTCTAGATAAATATGAAGATATTTGCTATGGATGCAACTGAAATCTAATCATAGTTATTCATGTTCTCAAAGAAACCACAGAGATTCTCCTGCCAGAGTTTATGACCTAAACCATGAGTCCCCATAAGAAAGAATATGGGAAAAATCAGGGGTCTCCTGGGAATACCAAAAAACTGAGCCATGAAGGAGCAGAGGTTTGAAAAGATGTTTATTAGCAGAAAAATTAATGATCTTAGGCCAGTGGCACCTTGAGCCCTGATCAATCAGATCTATCAATTTATTGAAATAAAGAATGTGGCCAACAGATTGGTTGGTTGAGTAGGTGGAAAATAAGACTAGATCTGAAGTTCTTTGTGCTGTTTAGCTGGGGCTTGTGTGAATGAGCTGGCTCTCTGGGCTGGCATGTTACTCCTGTTAACCTTGATTATACATTGATTGTTTTCTATGTCAAGTACTTACATCATTTTCTTCTACCTAGTATGCATTTATTCCTCATAAAAACTTAAGAATTTAGATCGTAACATTACCCCTACTTCATACACAAAGATATTAAAATTGAAGGGAGTCAATTGCTTGTCTAAGAATCTTCTAACTAGTAAATGTCAGTGTTGATACTTGAAGGACATTGGATCTTCTTGATCTCAGTCTTGGCTTCCTGGATTTCTTTGTTTTATGAAAATTTATATAGCAGTACACTTTAGGTACATGCACTTTTCTGCATTCATGTTATGTTTCAATGAAAACTTTGAAAAGGAGGCTGGAGAGATGGCTCAGAGGTTAAGAACACTGGCTGTTCTTGCAGAAGACCCGGGTTCAAATCCCAGCACCCACATTGTAGCTAACAACTGTCCATAACTCCAGTTCCAGGGGATCTGACGGCCCTTCTGTCCTCCGTGGGCATTGCCTGAAACGGGTGCACTTACCTATATGCAGGCAATACACACATACACATAAAAAAATGAAAAATAAATAAAATATTAAAAAAAGAGAACCAAAAAAAAAAGAAAATAAAGAAAAAAAATAACTCAATAATTCACACTCATCAAGTATGGGGTAGACATGCTCTGAAGTCTTTATCTTTGATTTTAAGTAATATTGCCAGATAATAAACACTGACTTCCAGAAGTCACCTAGGAATTCTCATTACCTGCCGCAGATGGCTGTTGTGTGCTTTAAATGAGTCCCCTGAGATATGTGTATGTATGCATGCAAATGTGTCTGTAGACTATCTTCAGTTTCCATATTCATGAACTTTCCTAGTTGTTCAAGTTTATTTGAAACCCCTAAATCAATATCATGGTGCAGTCATCTGTGACCCTGCAGTAGGTGGCCAACATTTGAGAATCACCCAAGGCCTGTGTCCCAGGTGGTGGTCTGCCTTCTTACGTCAGCTTTCATACTGTAGCCAAATGTTGCCTTCTTGATGTTTTAGTCATTTTGTCCACATTTTTGTGGGTTTTTTATTATGATTTCACAGGTTAAAATGGTCTCTCCAAGGGTAGTGGTGAAGTCTTTTCTAGTGTTCCTAAATTTGGGAAGTCTGTGAAGTACCGTATAGAGAAAATATATTTTAGGTAAACACGATCCAGATGTGAGTTATAGTGCTGTTAAGAGTAATGTTAATGAACCCACACCTTGCATTAAATAAGAAACACATATAAAATCAGATTATCAATTAACTGGTTGACACAAATTGATCAGATGCTCTTAGGAACCTAACTGGATTTCTTCTAGGAACAGTGGCCCAGTAGTCACTAATTTAGTGTTTCTGATAACTTGATAGAACCTAAGTATAAAAAAAAAGATATCCAATCGCATATATATATATATATTTATAGATAAAGCTATGAGAACAGTGCCTATTGACATAATAAAGCAACTGATAAACATGTTAACTGTTATTACCTAAATATCTGAGTAGACTTGCTCTCCGGTCTACTGCCAAGAAAGTCGATGATCTATTTTTGAATGTAAGTAGCACTGCTACCCCACAGTATGGAAAGTGAAACAGTAAACAAGTAAGTAAGAAACAGTAAACAAAAGAAACCCCACTCATGGAAGTTGACGTACAGCATGAAAGATCTCTGTTTACCACTTCATGTACAGCATCAAGTACTTGACACCTACTTCTTAGTATGCACTCAATGTTTTCTGAGCTATCTTGACATCTTAACTAAAAAGCGAATGTATGATAAGCATAAAGCAAAGTTCAAAGTTCAGTTATAGTAAAATGGATATGTATGCCAATGAGTCATGGGTAGTGGATTTCTGTGAGACTTGTCCTTGTCCTGAAACTTAATATGCTATAAATAAAATGTGCCTTGATTGTGACATAAACAATGAGAAATCTGCCTGGTATAGGAAATAAACACATGCTCTAGACTTCAAGTCAATACTGTGATAATCCAATTTTTTCTAGGCTAAGGAAGCAAATCTGTTCTGTTGGAGTGCCAACTAACTACGTGATCTGATTGTCCCAGTTATCCTGAGCCAAAAAAAGCAAAATGGGCTTTTTAGTGCCCATTATGGAATATCGAACATATTTTGTGTCAGTGTGACTGAGGAAAAAGCCACTATTAAAAGCTTTCTAGACAATTTCAGTCTGGTTACTGGACTTTGAGAAGCATTCTCCAGCCTAGAGTGGAAGGCCAAAGAATTTGGAGAGCATGCATGCTCTGAGCTGGTTTTCTTTAATGCAGCATTTAAGACAATATGACCAGTGCACAGAGCAACAGAGACCTGATTAACGAGAGGATGGACTTCAGGGGGAGAGGGGAGCAGGAAGGGGCCAGCACAGGGGAAAGAAAAGCTCACTTTATCCCAAAGAAACAGCATCATTTTAGGGACTTCTATGGGGTAAAATAAGCTTTTTCTTTCTTCTTATTTTTTTATGATCCATTGTATATCAAGTCCCTGAATCAATCTTTGCCATCATTTTGTCAAAGAAAACTCAGTGCTTAAGAGTAGTGAGAAGTCATATCTGGGCCATCAACCATCCCACATGGATGTCCGGTTTCCAGGTGAGTGACCTGGAAGAAGGATCAGGAAGCCTGTTCCAGAAACACTGGGAAGTAAGAGGCAGAGGGTAAGGTGTGTCTAAATTAAATCAGATTTCCTCATATGTAAATGGGCTTCATTATTTCTAAAACTCCTTTTCATTCCTAATATACAATAAACAAGTGAAAGAAACATGATTTTTTATGGTAGAACAGAAATAATCTCAGAAAAAAACAAAACAAAACTATGAGATCCTTTTTTTGGTTCATAAGTATGATGATTGGGTATTTATGTGGTTGTGTGACATGTGCCACCCTCAGACCTTGTTATGCATTGGCATGTTACCTGTCTGACATGAAAACAGAACAGAAAACAAAACAAAACAAAAACCTATGAACATGCCCACATCATGTGCTATTACTGACATATCGTTCTTGAGGTACTAAATTGCTGCTTTTCCAAGGGAGAGTTCTAGGGCAGAGCTAAAAACACAAAGGCTGCCAGCAGTCATGTGGAAGCTGTAAAGTATGCTGCTCAGCTCTGCCTTTAAGAAAACTCATTTCAAGCTGGAGCATTGGCAAACAGTGTTCATGGGCTTTATCTTCTAACTGGACACATGCCAAGGACTGAGAATTGTGGCACTAGCACTAGGTCATTCCTGCAGAAAGTGAGGGTCTTCCATGGGAACCTTTGCTACAGAGCTTACCATCAGCCTGTACTAGTTCTCAGAGATTGCTTCACCTTGACGGCCCAACTACCGCTTTCTCTCTGTCACAGATGCTAAAACTCAGCCAGAAGACCGTCTCCAGCTCACTCCTGCTCTCCCCGTCCCCTTCCTGCTATCCTTCTCCTGTCTCTTGAATCTATAATTCCATCCACATGTCTGTTTGTAGAAATAATGAAATGACGCACACCATTAAAGGATTTGCTTACTCAGCGAGACCCAGGCAGAGAGGAGGAGGTGAGTTACCTGTTCCTAAACCTGGTCACTGGGTGCACCCTTTGTGCATGCCGTGGACTTGTTAGAATTAAACCAAGTACAACTGACACAGACTGGCCTCTCCTTGGGCAGTACCCAATGGGGTCAAACGTATCAACCTGATATAGACTAGGAGTGGAACATTGAAAGTCCATTGGTCAATTTGGGGTGAGAAGAATTAAACAAATTCTCAAAACCAACCACCAGCTGACTCCAAGTTTCCCAACTGAGAGCAAAGTCAGACAGTCTCAGCAGAAAAAGGAAAAAGTGGGATGCTGAACTACACAGTTTCTTTGGTATATTTTTACCAGACTCCTGGGCATAGCTCAAATCCCTCCTTTCTCCCAAATATACCCTGTGTTCATTTGTCCAGTGTCCCTGGATGGAGACAGGAACTTTCCAGGAAGGAATACTGGCTTAAGAGAGAAAAGTCTTGTGTCCAGCTCCCAAGCCTTGCTAAAGTTCACTGTGCCACTCTGATCAAGCTTCTCGAACCCACAGTGTCTTATACAATCAAACCCAGTGATCTAGAAGACAGCATATAGCCGAGCTCAACCATAATCTATAAAGCCACATATTGCCCCAACTTAAAAAAATCAACAACAAAAACAGGTACACAGAATATGACAACACCAAAGTGTATTTGAAGTTGGAGTAGTTTTCCTAACTCTGGCTAGCCTTCTTTGCAACACTAACTCCTTCAAAAGACTTTCCTGTGTATTCATCTGAATATTCCATTTGTGGAGAAGAAACATCATTTCTGGTTTAATGCAGGGCTTGGTTCACTTTAAAAAGAAAAGCACACTATTTACTATCGAAGTTTATAAAGAAGACAGATTATCTATAGATGAAGTTACTTCAAAATAGTTCATCTTTCTAAAAGTACAGCAAACATGCTGTGTTTGTGTACATTTACTCCCCCAAACATTAGCTACTAAGTTGACTATTAGATTAAAATTTTTAATAAAGAATTATTTTGTGAAAATAATATCTCATGTTGATTTCTTTCCCAAACTCTAAGCAATAAAACTTTATTAGATGGAAAATAGGTCACATGAATCAGGAAGCTCGTGAAGGACAGCTACTGGGAGAGCAGAGTGAAACAGCAGGCTCATTGTTCAAGGGAAATGGACGTAATTATCTGACAACTATTGGTGGTTCCCATAAGATACCTTTTTCCCCTCTTTGTATATTGGAAAGGGAGTTCCAATATTTTCTGCTTTTAATTTCTTTGTTAGCCATCAGCAGCTGGTGAACAAAAAAAGACAAAAAGGGAAAAAAAAGAAAATAGAATCACTTAGGTTTGGCCATCATATTATTATGTCCCCAAATTGCTCTGAGAGCAGACAGATGGAGAGCCAGCTGTAACCACACAGGACCAGGGTCTCGGGGGACGTTACACAAAGCAGTGCTGAGCACTGCTGCCTCCTAAGGCTCTTCTCCTCTGAGAACACAGCATCATTCACCAGTGATACCCTGAGCATTTTGTCTCAAACTGGGGGTGTTAATGTGTTCTGGTTCCCTGCAGACAGCAAAGAGGCTTTTCACCATCATTGACTTATCTGTATGCCTGCTCAGCAACCACCCCGTGAAGAGGTAAACTCAGCAGCAGGAGAGGGCTGGGCACTGCCACACTGCCCTCTGGTCCTCAGGAGAGGTGTGCAATATCCTTCTGGGAGGAGTGTGTCCTTAGGACATAAAGAGGAATAGGTACCAGCAATGGGAATCCTTTCCTCCACAACTCATATGATCCACTTCAGAAACTTGCTGAACACAGAATTATACTAATTGCGCATCTCAGTGACTGTTAAAGTGTGGTCCCTGGACAGAAGCATTGGCACCACTTGGAAGTATGTCAGAAGTACACAACCAGCAATGAACCTCAGGGCTACTGTGTAGAGCCCTTCAGAGTGAACCCATAGATATGTGTCTTAGCAAGCCCTCTGGATGATTCCTGTGCAGGTTGGGGTTTGGAAACTTCTATGCTTTCTACTCATGTTTCTATAATAATGGGATATTCTCAAGTTCATATCAAGACTCTTATTTTCATATAATTTATATTTGTAAAGCATTCCATACTACACATGAGCAAACACATCTAAGATGGAGTGGGTGCTTAAAGTCACCCAGTCAGTGAGTGACCAGCAAAGAAAGAGAACAGAAAGTCTACTGTACTGCACAGAAATGCAGAAATAGTGTTCAGTCTATCTAGATATTGCAGGAGAGGATGAAAGTCAGATCACCTGAGGCAGCTCTCGTACCTTGGTGTTGTGGTTTGGATTAGAAGTATCCCCCACAGGTTCATATATTTGAATGCTTGATCCCAGTTGGTGGCTCTGTTTGGGGAAGTTAGAAGACTTTCAGGACACGAAGACTTGCTGGAGAAAGTATGTGGGTTCCCCACCCCACATCTTACCTACTCTCTCTGCTTTCCTGTGTGCATGGGGATGGAATGTGATCACCCACTTCCTGCTCTGCTGCCTGCTGCCACGTTTTCCCACCATTATGGACTCTCCTTAGAACCTGAGTCAAAATAAAGTCTTCTATAAGTTGATTTTCATCATGCTATTTTATCGTAGCAACAGACAAGACACTAACATGCTTGGTAAATTCACTGTCCACAGAAGGCCCACATTCTTAGAAATCTGTATTGTATGAAATATGGGGAGACTGTAACTGTCTTGGGAAGAAGCCAAAGCCTAAGACACAGCAATCTCAGTACAAGTTCCATGAAATTCGCAAATTTGATACACAAACATGGTTGTCCCACCCAGCAGCTCCATACCCAGAAAGCCAGCCTAGGCATTTTGTTTCTGTTGCAAAAAATGAGGAGAAAATGAGCGTGTGTGTGTGCTTAGTTAGATAATTCATATGTCAAAATCACACCAAGAATAATCTAACTTGTGAGCATATAACCTGAAGTAACCACAGAAGCCAGGAAAGAAGAAGGGAACTATGGGGGGAGGGGAGGCAAAGGAGCTCCAAAGAGAAAGATAGTAAGACACAGGCACTATGAAGCGGGGAGTGGAGAAAATGGGGGACTTTAACTGGGGAGGGGAGGAGAAGGGAGGTACAGAGGGAGGGGAGAGACAAATAACACTAAGTGTGTCTGCAAAGGCAATAGGAAAGTGTACTATTTTATAAGTCTACTTGTAGGGTTACTATGCCACATTATAATTATCTGAACAAATAGCTTAACAAATTTAATTTCTAGGAGTGGGCCTGAACTCAAAGGACACTTGTTCCCCTAGATATCTCTTGGAACTGTCTGTCTCTTGGAAATGTGGTAATAGAATATCATGCTGAAACTCTGTCCCTGGAACTATGTTCCCCAAGTCCAGCCCCACTCATAATTTTAATCAAAATGGTTTCTCCAAATCTCCCTTCAGGTTGTTGGCCAGGTGTAAGTCAAATTCACTGCTGGGAGGTGCAGGTAGCATCTGATCCCCTCCTCCCACTGTCCTTATGACAACCTGAGAAAAGAATCCTCCAAACCCTGGTTTGAAGAATCTTAACAAGTTTATTGGACTTGCTAACTGAGCTTGGAGTGTGGGTTTACTTACAGAAAAGTGAGTGAGCCCCATTCATGGCTTTGTTCGAAAGTCCACACTCAAACATAAATCTCGTGGTTCCCAACAGCCTCACAAAATGGAGAAAAGCCAGCCTCATGGTTTTCCCAGATTTTATACCCTTAGTCCCTACCCTGCAAGCAGTTAAGGTCAACTGATTGGCTGGAAGAGGTAAGGGGAGTGGCTCCTTTGCAGAGCATGGGAAGGAGGCTGGACCATGGCTTGTCATCACAGGGTCAGAGGTGAACATCCGAGTCAAACTCCATCCCTTCCTCTGGCTCTTACAAAACTTTCTGCTTACCTCTTCCTCGAATTTCCCTGAGCCTTGGAGGGGTGGGGCAACCTTCCTCCCATTGTGGTAGGGCACTGGACTCTCCAGGTCTCTGCATCATCTGTTTGTCATGGGCTGATGGCTCAATTTAGTGGTATTTCATCTACTATAAAAACACAAACAACAAGAAGCAAGAGCATGTAAACAATAACTGCTATAATAGCTTATGGGCGAAAACATAAATGCCTGAATGGCCAGTACTTTAGCAGGTGCTTCACATCTATTTAACAACACAATTGCAGTGGCTTCTCCACTGGGGCCTATAAGCTCTCCTGCCACAGGGGAGTGGCTTGGTCTACAATACCAGATGTGTGCTCCATCCCCAGGAGCAGGTATTAGTTCCAATTGAAAATGAGCTGATTGTTCATACACTAGAACTAGATGAGCCACTATTGCACCAGCAGGAACGTCTCACTTCACATGTTGATAGTGCAGCACACGGGGTCCCTCATTGAATAGGATGATGGGGGACAATT